GACATCGAAGATAAGCTCTATACTTCGAATCTTCGAGAGATGCCTGCTTCCAAGGATTACGGCCGGATATTAAGTTGACCAGTATTACACCTAAGGACCAGACATCATTAGGCGCGCACCTGTAAAACATCCCTTTCAAGTTTTCTGAGCGAAATTAGTTTACAAATTTTATGACAAGTCAAAACGCCTTACCGGGGCTCATATAAAATGAACTTCCACAAAACTGGTCTTCTGAGACTGGGGTGGTAGTCGCAAGGCCGAAACCAGCTAGGAACGCTCGGTTTTGGTTTCCCTCGTTCGATACCAAGATGTTCTCGGGCTTGAGGTCTCTATGGTAGATCCCTAAACGATGGCAATGTTCTACAGCATTCAGAATTTGGAGAAAAGTCTGGCGGATAAGATCGTCGTTGCCAATGTACATGCCTCTCTCAGTGATACAAAAGAAGAGGTCACCTGATGGGTAAAAGTCTGCGACGACGTAAGTGCATTCCGGATCTTCGGCGATCTTGTGGACATTTACGATATTGGGATGTGCTGAGGCCATATAGTGAAGGCGGATTTCCCTAGATTGGAATTCCCGCTGCCTTTTATCCAAAGGTTCTCCACTGGCATTAGTCTTGCTTAAAGCTTTGACTGCATACCATGTCTGGGTGAGATGATCGAATGCCACGTATACGACTCCAAAATGGCCGATCCACAGTATCGACTCCAGCTCTAAATACCGCTCCAGGAATATACCTATCCTCGATTCGGGCGAAGGAGGACTTCTTAACCCCATGTCAACAATGTCCCCATCATCATCGGTCGTTGAAGATGCGGCAAGCTCTGGCCGTGTTTGGATGTGGATAGCACGGAAGGCTTCAAGTTCCTCCGCCAATAGAACTCCATCTGCGGCGATTTCTGAGAGATTAGGTGAGGAAGTCTCTTCATCCCTAGCTCCTGGTGGTCTCAAGCCTTCGGTACGATGCATATTATGTCCGCCTGCTTGCCAAAGTGTGCGACTAGGGCCTTTTCGATTCTGGCGATTCGTGTGCACTTGCGGATGCACCTCTAGCGCCTTTTCATAGTGATATTCAAGTGAGCAGGTTGAGCTATGTAATGTTAACGATTTCGTACTTCTTGTGTTAAGATATGCAACTGACCAAATGATAAGGGTTGATCCATTGAACGGTGGAAGGTTTCGAGAACGGCACGCTGGTCTTGGGCATAGGCCTTCTTCGAAAAGCAGGCCATCAATAATCATCGACATAATGATGTGAGAACCTGGGAAAACAGATCGTTCCCATTCGCCCTTGTCGATGATAAAGTCTTTTGTCCTCGAGTCTTTCAACAAGTGGTACTGCCCTTGGATGACTCGCCATTCGCCTGGTTTCTCTCTAAATTCGTTTTTGAGCATCAAGTCCACCATATCGAAGTTGCGGAAGAGATCGTACGGGAGAAGCCGAGTTCGCCCAAGTCCGTCTGTGAATTGAAATAAATTTTCTTCCGAAGAAAGAGGTTGGCGCTGTATTATACGATGAACATCTCGCAGTAAAGCGAATAATTTCAAGTCGTTGTTCAAGCTTTGCTTGAAGAATTCCGCCGCCGTTGAGGTGAAGCCCCCAAATCGACGTACAAGTCCAGAGACAAGCTCTGTCAAACCGCCTACTCTGGACGTATGGATTCTTATTTGAGAGATGATAAGTGCGAAACCACGGTGTTGATCTCTTTGCAGCTGCTTTAGACGTCGATGAGTCTCAGCCTGCTTGGCTTGGCTGAGTCTGCGAAAATCTTCAACTCCAACTTTGATACCTACACAGATCCGAACCAAGCGATCATCTCCTCTGATCAAGGTCCCCAAATCCGTAGTGTTTCTTTGCATTATATCGTGTAGCTCACGGAATTGGTCTTGGCATTGCTGTATTTTCCTTCCTGATTCCAGAGATTTGTGGAGGATAGCTTGAGATCTTGCGTCAATCTGGGTAGTGGTTGCACTTCACATGTCAGATTACCCCCCCCAAAAATATATGTGGACGAGAAATTACATTATGTAGGTTGAGATGAGCAACTGGATGGATGTCAGTTTCCCGGCCATAACCGCCCGGAACTTTTGGACTTCCTCATCCATATTGATTGCCCAATGTACCTTTTTGGCTTGCCGGTTCAACCTATTTCGTATTCCAAGTTCCTTGGTCTGCAAAGTTTTATACTTTTCGATCTTCGCAAGAAAGTCTTGTAGAGGCAGTTCACAGGCTGATGCCATGCCTTTTATAGCATTGAGAAACCCGGCATTACCGCCATGGTCCCAATGTCCTTCGTGAAGGTGTACTAAAAGAATTTCCAACTGTTGTAGCTCGGTTTGGACATTCGAGAACTTATCTCTGGCGCCTCCTGCATCTCGCAAAGTTTTGCGTACATCATTGAGGATCTTGATAGCGGATAAGATGTCGCCAAAGGAGAAACCAAACCCTGGAGCAGCCATGAACTGCAAGTCAAGCGGTCGAACAGGCGCTATTCTGATCAGGGCAGAAATTTCGAGTTGCCTGTCTTGGATTCAGTGTATTCGAGGATTCAAGATTATTCGGTGGTGGATAGTGACCGGAGAGTGGAGAGAGCCTTGCAGAAAGCCAGTGTGTTGTGATCTTCAGCACAGCCCAATGTGTTGTCATCGATTCATCAGCCCTGCAAATGCATTGGTTGTCGAGAAATGATAGTTAACCGAACATATATATAACTCAGAGAAAAACAACGCAAGATGGACAGGCTTTCTGTCTTTCAAATTAGTGGACTGTATAAACTCTGCCGAGAGAGACCTAGGATTGTTACCCCTTTGCGTACGCTGCGGCCGTGAATGTAGCAGACAGGTTACTTTAACGGATCAAGTCGAACGACGCGTGATACTGGAAACTTTAAGTTATGATAAGTGTCAGCCTCGGGCTAATAAATACGATTCCAAAAAGGAGTCATTACTCACAAATTTGAGATTCTGAGCTGGTTAGATATGATGAGAGGACATCGAGAGTCGCTGCGCCGCATTTGTCGTGAGGCTAGAGCTGACAGACACATATCCTCAATGGCACAAGTCTATTGCGAAGTCTCATTCGCAAAGGAGAATCAGTATAAAAACGATACGCTGAGTGTTTATTTGTCCATGCTAATGCTGTTGATCGCTTTTTGGATATTTCTAGTACTGCACCCAAATCCCCGTACCGGACACCCCTCAAGGACCTTCGAAAGGCAACAAAGGTTTCTAAAGCAGCCCAACTTCACAATATCAAGCCTTATGGGACGTGCTGTCTATCCATTTGAGATGCCGTCCTTGATCATCGCTTATCCTCTCTCTTCGAGCCTCCTCGTTTTCGTCCGAAGCGCAATCACGAAAAGAAGCTACGCAGCCTATTCTTGCATTTGGCCTCGGATTGAACCTCGGGAGCAACCTTAGACGTCGTGTCCCTATCAACCCTAGTGGGAGTGGGATTAGTGACAGGCTCCGGCGAGGGTTGAACGGGTCTGAAAAATGTTGAACATTGAGAGATACGTTCCATGAGTCGGGACGTGCCGATTCTTTTCTTTGGATTAGGCTCAAGAACCTGGACGAGAATGTCCAAAAGCTCGTCGGACACTGACAATCTCTTCTTCAAAACACCTCGCTTGTTAAGGGTGTAAAAGAAGTATTGTTCATCTGCGTGGGTGGGGTCGTCCCAGAGCCAACTCCCTGTCAGGTTGACCAGCACAACACCCAAAGCCCAGATGTCATTCGGTGCGCAATTGTAAGGGTGTTGGGTCATAGTTTCTATGGGGATTAGCCCACGGACTCTGCAGTGAAATTGGAGGAACCTACCAGGACCCCTATATGGTGGGGTTCCGAAATCCTCATTTGATACCGAATCAATCGTCGCCCACCTAAAGTCGGTCAGAACAATGCGGGATCCGTTCAGGAGTAAGTTTCCGGGCTTGATATCCCTATGGTAGATTCCAAGGCTATGGCAATGCCGAACAGCCTCAAGAATCTGAAGGAACGCCTCCTGAATCTCCAAGTCTTTTCCCACATACTCCCTTCTCTCCAGAGCCTTTGAATGCAAGTCCCCCGCAGGATAGTATGGCATGACGAACTGTGTGAAACCTGGCTCATCCTTGAATGTGCGGATAGGTACTATACCTTCATGTGTTGAAGCGAGGTATTGAAGTGCGATTTCTAGACGTTGACGGGTTTTCTGCTTTGTATCTAAAGCGTGCCACCTTCGACCCTTTTCAACACCTTGACCACGTAAATGTTCCCGTTATTTTGGGAGATTGACTTATGAACGCTCCGGTTGTCAGGGGGGTTGTCAGCGGAGCCTAAGACCTCTTCGGACTCGAGGTTCAGGTGTAGGATAAACTTGGTGTCGTCGTCCGAGGATGGGACCAGTGATTGTTCAGGACTATGAGGGACTTCCGAAGACTGGTCCTCATTGCCCGTCGCCATCCCGTTGTCAAACAATCCCTTCTGCTCGAACCGTGTTGTGATATGGAAAATGGTTGTACTATGAATGTCTGTTGTGATGTCGATAGCTGTCGTAATGTTGATATCTGTTGTAACGAGGGTGGCTGTTGTGATACGAATGTGATGAAAGTTGTGAGCTCTTCTCCGAGTAAGATTGTACGTGCTGTTCTTGGAAGTTGCCAAGATGACAAGGAAAGTGCGGGAGAGCGGTTGCTTGTTGGGAAAGAACTCTATGAGGAAGTAATCTCCCGATGTCGAGATCATGCGAATCAGAACAGAACACTACATGAGTATCCCGACACTGAAGGGACATTGAAAAGCGAAAGTATATATTGAGCAGCCTCTGATTGCAGTTCCAGATTACATCTCACTTACGTCCCAGCTCTCTGTTCTTAGAAAATGGATCTCTGCTGTGAAGACCCACACTCGTGACTGCCCAAACTATTACCAGAGTAACGCCGAAGGCACTTGACGCACAATTTCTAATCCTATGTGTAATAGTAAACAAGCAAAATTTTCTCAAGCAACCAAGAAAACAGGGGTTGTAGCTCAGTGGTAGAGCGTCTCATTCGCATCTAACGATCTTTGAGAAAGTCGTGGGTTCAATTCCTACCAACTCCATTTCCTTTTGCTTTTGGTCTTTTTGATTACCAGCGTTTTAATCCTAGCAACACTTGTCACGTTTTTTGAGCCCTAAAAAGATTACTAGCAAAAGACGAAGGTCATTACTTTTTTGCTTGAGCACTTGGTCTATCTCGTTAATCAAACGTAAGCCCCTTATCTACTCCAAGTAGCTCTTAGGCAAAGTAGCGACCTTCTCCTGGAACAGCTTCTCAGCCTTTGCCCAGGGATCAGTTGTCCGCCACTTGTTCAGAGTCAACAGACTCGGTAACAAGTCCTTGCTGAACGCCTCGCTTGCCTCTCGTGGCAGCAAACTCGGCAAGTGATCAATGCTGATGACCGATAACTTGGGTTCTCCCTTGACCTCAACAGGTACCGTTGGCTCCGTGAAGGTTGTAGCAACAGTGTAGACTGGGACCGGGTTATTCGGGTTCGTGGTATCGGCGCTAACGTCGCAGATGACTGATAGCTTGCGGTCAGGAGTATCGAGGCTCTTCATGTCGACGAAATTAGGAATCTTAGACATCAGATATATGCAGTTGATGAAGATATCACTCTCCACGATCTCGGGAAAAGGTCCACCCTTGGCTGTCTCTGCCAGATCCCACTTGAGCACATTCTCAGTTGGCACACCGGCTCTTAAGCACATATCCACTGCTCCGCTACCACATCGTCCTAGAGCACCAATGACCAGAACTCGGGGGTCGCGTCCGCTCTTCTCCTTGCCTGCTGCGATTGCCTTCTTGACGTCGACGATCAAAGCATCTTCATTGGGGTAGCTCGAGACACCTGGGAATGGCTCGGAAGTCGCGTGGGTGAGCTGCCATGCCCATGTCTCCAAGGCCAGAGCTGCGCCTGCAAAGCCAGCATGGTATCCAAAAGCTGCAACTCTGCGTCCTCGGTCATCGGTCAGGAATTCGAGGTCGAGAAGGGTTCCACCGCCGCGAGGGAATCGAGCCAGCACCTTCTCCCAGCCTCCTTGTTGCTTGTAGCAATGTGCGAATTGGACATGAGTGTGTTTGAGAGGGACTGGCATGAGTTAGCTATGAATTGAGGTTCAATTGGGCTTTTGCAACTTACACTCCTCCACTGGCAATTCCTTCAACCCAATGATGATATGATCAGTAGGAGCTTCTCTCCATGTATTCTCTGGCACCAATGTAGCTCCAACCTTCTCGAACTCCTCATCGTCGAATATGCGCTCGGGGCTTCGCTCGACTCTGACTGTGTAACCAGCATCAATGAGTGCTTTGGCAGTAGATGGTGTGAGGGCAGATCGGTGCTCGAGGGCCTTGCCCACTGACGAACGCATTAGTAGATTCCGCAACATCATGCCAATGGGGTCTTACACTCGGAGCGGAGATGTAGAGTGGTTCCCGACATGATGGAGAGACTCAATTGAAGTTGTATGTTCAATCGAGGGGACAATAGAAGGATTTATAAGTTAGGTGGTGGGCAGATTTTGTTATTCTGCCGTTGACTCATGGCGGTGAGCAGATTTTCTCAGGCACTAGGGGGAGCATTAATTCGTGACCCATCAACCGAAGAACATCGAATATATCTCAACGACCACAATAATTGGAAACTCCTTTTGCGGGAGGAAAATGATCTTTGAGGCGAGATAAATATTTTATCCTCTTCTCAAGTGGTCGCGAAGTCGGGGTTGTGCGATATTCTAAGGTGCAAACTTTGGTTGGGTCACGAATTAGTACACCCCCTGGTGAGGGGTCTCACGCGCCGACATCGCCGATTCTCCCAAACTCACTTCCCATCTCATCAACCGCGTTGAAATGAATATCTACGCTTTTCATCAAAGCCAGGGACACAACACGTGTGCAGTCCCACGTTTCGTAGTTAATGTATCGTGCGATTTTTTTGGGCCTACTGCTTTGGCTTGAGCGTTGCTCGCGTCGAGATATCAATCCTTCTCAAGTCCCTGGGCTCAGCTATTTCTGAGATGGAACAAATCCCTCGGAAAGCAAAAGAGAATGTTTCTTCGCCGGTCACTCGTTTTCAACTTTGAAAAGGATGCTTCTGAATCCGAGAGTATGAATGTCACCAGCTCCATTTGAGTGGTTCTCACCTGGACATCCCCCGCGCTTTGATTTCTTGGTTTTGTTTCGTCGATGTTTCTTAACATCGATAACTTACTCTTGGCACCAGAACGACATTCAGATTAGATATGATTGGGATCTTGGCGAACTCGGTGGATATTTCCCGAACTCTTGTTAGGTTCCAGTCGTTTGAGACACTACGGATGGATCTCCTGTCTGAAGCTTGTCCTCCGAGAACCTAATCTGAGAAATATGGAGGCTGTGGTATCACGAAGCTCTATATATCTTCGGACATGACGTTCATCGAATTTGCGATGGCTTCACGCTGATTTTAGTTTCTTCATAGCACTCTTTTCGTTCAATACCCAGCCACAGACATGGCTTTCTCTTCTCGACTGCCAGGCGCTCTCACTGTTCTTTTCTATCTTCAATTTTTTTGTAATGTGGTATTGGCCCAAAATGAGACCGAAGTCTTGCCTGGGTTCGGGGATACAGTCCAAGTGCTGGGAGATGTAAGTGGCACACATCTGGAAGTTCTTCGTACAGTACTCATCCTATGTCAGATGCAAAGAACAGACCAAGACTTCAAAGATGGCCTAGCACTCGACCTCTTCTCCCCCAAAGCCCGAACCCTCACCGTCAAACAAAACACCTCTCCTCTCAGTGCCAATTTCATAACCGGCAATTCAGGAGAGCCATTTGTCGCTTTATCAAACTACTCGTACATCGTCCAAATGAACGAAACAGCCAATGACCTCATCGCCAAAATCGAGATTCCCTACGACGTACCCATGCTCAATAAAATGGGTGTCCAAGAAGCCAATACCTATGTCGCTACCCTATCTTCGGACAAGAAAAGTTGGGTGATCGATGATGCGACAAGGAATGTTCACCGAAGTGAAAACAACACGAGGATTATCAAGATGACTTCCTTGGACGGGGAATATCTGCTTGTTGGACGACAGACCGTGGATACGAGCAACATTTTCGTTCAATACGGTCAAGGTGCAACAAGGACTGTCAACATGACAGGTGGTCCTGGAGTTCAAGAGGCAGAGTTTATTGATGGGTTTCGGTTCTCAGTTCAGACTAATATGTCAATGACTATGAACGTCGATATCAAGAATGGGGTCAATCCTGGGACGTTGCCGGCTAACACTCAGTCGCTGAATTCGTTTATGTGGATCGTTAACACGAGTGCGCCTTTTAATAAAATCAATGCTCAGATGCTGGTTCCTTGTAAGTGTTCGTCGTTCCGCAGTGAATTGGGGTATTGACATGAAGCAGTCAATCGCAACATGCTAGTAGCAATGAAGCCCGCTGGCTCATCACCATCAACTATGCTAACAGTTGCTAAACGAGCGTTGAACGCTACTAGTGGGCAATTTTTGCCAGTCAACCCTGATGTACAGCAAGTTAGGGAACTACCTGAGGATAGGATATCGATTCCAGGAATGACGCAGCTGGATGGGCAGTACATCATTTTGGTGACAGAACCAAAACCCGTGGGAGAGAGTAAGTTGACTGCACGGTTGTCTGGTGTTGGACTGTAGCTGACCTTGTCTCCAGCTTTACCTGCTTCAAATATCGTTAGCACTAGGAGGAGGAAGAGGAATCAGAGGATGGTACATGCCGCACATTATGTGTAATATATTCTGGCTTTCAAGTTAGGACTCATGAAAAGACCCATTTCTTGGTGTGGCAGGGACTTCTGAGAATTTATGAGAATTGTGTGTATGTTGCGATGTGGAGTGGAGGTCCTACATCCCGTAAACGTCTTCTCAAAGTTGTTTTAAGAGGGTAGTGAATAGGCTGCGGAGGCACGCATATCTTTACAATGCTTTGGCGCATCGTCGCTCTCGAAGTTCCGGCGGCCAACGGTCGGAATTTTCGTTTTTTAACCAACGTATTTGGCACTTTGCAATAGTGATGCTGACGGATACTACAAAATAAAAATAATAAAATAATAATAATCGCAAAAAGTAGGAACTTCCGAAGAAGCTCTTATAAAACCACAGCCTGTGTGGTTTTTGAACGGGCAGATGGCATTCGTATTTCAGGAGTGCTCTAAGAATCTAGGGAAACGGTACATATTGTATATTGATTTCTATAAGGCAAACCGACTACACATCTGGAGGACAATCTTCTTATTTAAATTTATACGTACCGCTGCGAGTGGTCTTAAGCTGGCGGTAAACGAGGGGCACTCATTCTGTCACCTTCAATGAAAGCCAATCGGATTGCTAGATGGGGAGTTTAACTTTATTAGAGATTTTGATCGTGGTACCAGGAATCGTTCTCGAGACAGACAAATGGCATGAATGATTTTTTGGCTTTATAGATCATCGGGTAGCTAACCGACATCTTCCATATTTAGCCTTGCTATAGGGGTATTTCCAAAGCTCTCTAGTCCACGATCAACCATCAACGGCGCAACAAAACCACTATTCTGAGCATCGACTGTCGCTTGCGGATCAGCAACAGCACCATTCGTATCTGCTTTCAAAGCAGCATATCTTGAACCCGCCTGCTTCAGCAACTCCTGGACCTCAGCCTCCCTCTTCCCGATATCAAGCTTCTCTTGCTTCGACTCCTCCAACTTTGTTTGCCTCTTCGCTAATTCTAGCTCCATCGAGGTCAAAGTGTTTTGCAGTCTCTCAAGACACTCTGACAGGTTCGGCAGAGGCGTGATCTTTGAAGGCATTTGGACGGTACTTCGGTCCAGATCCTCGGGTTTATGTAGCCCATCCATCCCAGCACGAGTCTGCGCAGCTTCATAAGCAGCTCTCCGCTCCGCTTCAGAATCGTCAGACTCGTCTTCCGAACTGCCTTCTGCTTGATGAATCATATCTGCCATCTCCTTCCTTTGGCGTTTCCTAGCTTCTCTCTCCGCTTTCTTGCCCAATGATATCCTTCCATCGTCCACGAATTCATCGAAACCTTCAC